TTTACTACAATTTTTAATTTATCAATATTTATTTGTTAGATTTTGTATTTGATAAAATTAGTTATACTGGTTCTTCGAATTTTATTTTTTCGGAAATTCAACTGTCCAAACAGCTAAAACCTGTATTATAAACCAATGTCAAGATGGTCATAGTGTCATACACACAAGTAGGCGAACTCGTAAATTTGTATTTAGTAGGTAAAAACAATTCAGCCAATATTACGCGGGTCAATTCGTCTGGAAAGTTGTTCAATAATTACCATGTACAGAATAAATAAAAGATCCAGGGAAGGGAACATGCATTACATTTGTTTGAATTAGAACAAATTAAATTTGTGATCAGATTATAAAGAAAAAAAACCAAAATTAACCTTACAATATGAAGATATCATTTGCATGGAAGTAATAAAGCGTGAGAAAAGGAAAGTCAATTATAAATTAACCAAAGTTTACTTTAATTTGTTCGAATAATTTTGAGTACAAATAAGACAACTGTAGTAGAGTTGTTTAATTAATGGCTCTAGACGTTTTTTCTATTTGAACCATGAAAATGATCAATATCGTGCGTGGAATGTGAATGAAAGATTGGGATGCGACTAGTAACTTCTTTATTTACTCAAGGTAATCCACCACCAAAGCCACCTCCTCCACCGATTCCACCACCAATACCTCCTCCTAATCCTCCAATGCTACCTCCAATTCCACCACCAAATCCTCCTCCAATGCCTTTAGGGCCAATCCCTATTCCTCCTCCTCCACCTCCACCAATACCTCCACTGATACCTCCAAGTCCACCACCTGCACCCCCGCCAAAGCCGCCACCTCCACCAATACCACCCCCTAAACCACCTCCACCACCAAGCCCTCCACCTCCTGATATGGAATGATCAAAGGAGAATGTTTTCTCATCATTGAGAGGCTCTGAGCTAACAAGCCTTCTTGCAGTGGTGGTGCTAACAAGAATACCAAGAAGAACCAAGAAAATAAATTTGGAAGCCATCTCAATCTCCGAGTAAAAGATATGTCGTGACTCTTGATTGATGAGAATTTAGGAACAAAAATGGGATTATATAATGCTACAAGTCAATTATTATTGAATCGGACTGCTAGGTGGGTTTCAACCCACCCTTCATCTGTAAACTGCTTCTTAATTGTTAACGTAAGAATTTATGTGGCTCATGTAATTTATTAAAGAAACTTTAAATGAAATTTTAATTGAAGTAGTTTGGTTAAGTTAATTAATGAATTCTTTAATTTGGTCTTATTCATTATTGATGCATTAAATAATTTGGAAGATAGAAAGTTTAATGAATATGTTCTATCCCATGACACCACCTATTTAAAAGTGTTTTACAAATTCTATCATAATAATTAGGACGGTCAATAGATAGGATTTTGATCCGAATCCAATTAAATTAATGGAAAATGTATTTAGAGTTTTAGTCCAATAACTCGATCAAAATTTGAATCCGATAATCCATTAACTAAATAGATCAAATATGGATATAAGTCAATCCGATCTGATAACAATCCGATCTGATTTGTTATAAATAAATGAGCTAGTTAAATATTTTTATGGCATGTTATTAACTAAAATAAATAAATGAGAAAATAAAGAAATTTATAATTAAAAAGTCATCAAATTCAGAGCATAAAAAATAAGAAAGTCAATCCACGTATTCACAGTTTTATTTATTAGATGAACAAAATATAATATAATAGTGCTAATTGAAATATTTGGAAAGTTTTAAAGTTTTATTAATTAGTAAAAGATAAGAAAAAAGAATTAAATTAATTTAATATACTATACTAAAAGTTAATAAAAAAATGTTTGGAGATGTCCTCTATAAATGAGTTAATACATAGATAAGAAACTTTTTGTGCCTTTCCATCCAATTGGCTAAAAGTTAAAAAAGTTGAAAATTTTATAAGTATTAAATTAACTTTTTTAAGAATTAGAAAAATTGTGAATTTTTTTTTTAAAAAAAGTGTAAATTTCAACATTGATTTTATTTTCCTAATTCTTTAATTTTGAATCAGATTATCAGATCGAATATCTGATAACATAACAAATCGAATATGGATTTAACAAACAAATATATGTTGAATTATTGGATCAGATCAAGTATGGATAGATGTGATTCATATCCAATCTATTTACAGCCCTAATTATAATGTGCAATAAAGTGAAGGTAAGGAAGAGAAAATTGTTCTTATACAATTGCTTTGCAATTTTTGACTAAGGGTGAGTATGGTTCGGTTCAGTTTGGTTTTAAAAAGAATCGAATCAAACTTGAATTTTTGGGTATTTAGTAATTTGAATCATCAGGTTCAAATTTAATTATTAGTTCCATTCGGTTCCTAGGTTTCGTACCATAATAAATATTTTAATATTTACAACAACGCTACATAAATTTTATTTATGAGATTAATTTCAATTTCTCTCTTATAAAATAATGTAGTTCAATTTAAAATAATACGAATAACAAGTTGTCTAATACTATTCATTTACCAATGTATACAAATTATTAAAAAGTAAATAATAATACTAAAACGTTGATGATTTCATCTCATTGATTCCTTTGCTACAATCCTTCAAATCTACGTAAAAAAAAATGAAATGTAACGCACTCCAACCAAAACACATCAATAATGTATACAGAAATAACAAATTTGTGAAAAGAACCAAATAATTGATTAAAAGTCATTAGCTAATCAATAGGCAGCTTCAAGCACATGAAACTAGTAAGGATCGGAAGATGCATTAGTGAACGGATCATCTTTGTTTAAATTTTGATCATCAGTAATATCTTTGTTCAGCTCGAGAATCAAATATAAAACTACAGAAATGGAGAGAGGTTTAAACAAAATCAGATATAAAACCACATATTTATTTAAATTTTGATCATTTGTGATATCTTTTGCTCCCCTCCTTATTGAGATCTTCATAGATTTGACTTTTAAAATTATAGGAAGAGGAAAGTAATGAGCTTACAATAATGAAGAGAGTTGCATCTGAGCTTCCAATTAGATTCCTCCAGAAAAGCAGAAAAGGCACTACGGTAAAATGAGAGATTTGGGTTTGAGCTAAATTAATTAGTTATCAAATGAAAATAGAAAAATGATATTTTGAGCTTAATTAATTAGTTGAAAATTTTATTTAAAAAAATTAAAATAATTTGACCAATTTAATATAAAAAAATTAGGGAGATTCAGTTCTTATTCGATTATTCAGTTCTTAGTTTAGAACCGATAATCGAATCAAACTCACCGATTCTCGATTCAGATACCTGTTCGGGTATTTGACTTAAGAAGAATTGCTTGATTCAATACGGATTGGGTCGAGTCTGGTTCAGTTCGATTTGGTTCCAAAGTGTTGTCCAGCCCTATTTCTAGCTTATGGTTTTTACGCAGTGGATAAAAAAGATCCGTTTTCTTTGTTGTAATAATTTAATATGCAAAAATCATAAAGTTCTAAAAATCCAAGATTAAGTTTGTATTACCAATTGTAGGAATGTTTGTTGGAAATGATTCATGTTATATTTTGTGATTCTATTATGAATAATATGAAAAACTTTGTTAATTGATTTATTTTTATAATATTTTTATATATGTTAGATTGGCATAATCACATAATTACGAAGATAACAAGTTAAAAAAATTTTAAATATTGTTCTTATTATTCATATATACTAAGATCGGAGTATTGAATGTTACACGCGTTCATTAATTAGTAGAATAAAGCTTTTGGTATAACATTTTTTTTCTTTCTTTCTGTTATTGTTTTATGTTTATTGATAAAAATATAAGCATAGAAGGCAACGTTGAAATAATAACATTTGTTATCTTAAGACCTTTTCAATAGTTTATATTATACTTCATTGATTATGTTATTATATATAACTTGGAAAGTTAAAACATTTTTACTGACTTGATCCTTAGAAGGAAAGTATTATCATCTCGAAAGGATTAATATTGGAAAAGAAGTAGCCATAGG